CAGGTCGGGAGTGAGGGGCATCGGCAGAGCTGAGGGCAGAGCTCAGGCTGGGCTAGCAGGGGGCTGCGGGTCGGGAGTGAGGAGCGCCAGCAGAACTGGGGGTGGAGCCCAGGGCTGGGCTAGCAGGGGCTGCGGGTTGAGAGTGAGCGGCACCGGCAGAGCTGAGGGGCCCAGGGCTGAGCTATTTGTTCTGTCACTGCAGTTGGATTCTGATATCTAAACTTTCCTGGGTGGTTCCTGCCCTGGTCGCTGGGTGTCACCCCAGGGCCTGTCAGGGATCAGCCCCTGCGAAGGCAGGTTGCCCCGTCTCTCTGAATCATGGCTCTGGGCACTCCATGTCCATCTGTCTCTGTCTATCTGTCTGCCTACTCCATCTCCCCACCACTGGGCCTCAGGGACTGGCCATGTCTCTCCATGCCTCAGGGCTAGTTCAGTGGCTGCGTCCTGCTCCAGGCTTTCCCTGAGGGGAGGGAATCTGTCCTGGGGCGGGGGGGGGCAATGTGGAGAGGGCTCAGGGAGTCCCCACTGGGACAGGCCCTGCACCCCCTCCCCCCAGGGCCCAGGAGCCCCCTCTCTGGGCAGCCCTCGGCCCCCATCTTCTGCCCCAGGTGTGCACTCACCAAGGATGAGGCAGAGCAGGAGTGATGGGCCCAGCAGAGCCATGGTGGGGTCCCTGGGATCAGGGGCCCAGGCCAGCTGGGACAGCTCCTCAGTGGGGCTGGTGCTGCGGGTCCCCCTCTGCCCCTGCCCGCTGGCTCCGTGCTCAGCGGACAGATGATCCCTGACAGGAATCTTCCAGGAGGGTATTTATAGCCAAGGGCTCGGCGCCCTGCACTGCCCGGCCTGTGTCTTGGAATGTCCTGGCCGGATGCTCCCAGCTGGTCCTGGCCGGCCCGTTCCCCCAGGCAGAGGCTAGCACAGCCTGGCTGCCCCTGCTGCCACGCGACGCCCCAGGTGGGCCCAGGGCCCAGCACTGCTGGGAAAGGGGCACCCCCACAGCCCAGGGCAGACAATAGGGCTGGCCGGAGGAGCCATAAACGGGAGCAGGGGGAGCTGTCAGCAGACCTAGGTCCCTCGCCCTCCACAGCGACCCTGTCCGGATGCAGCGCTCCTGGCCCACAGAGCAGAGTCCACAGCTCAGCTGCTGCCACCTGGATCCTGGCAGCCCATGAAATGAGTCAGGCTCATGAGGGACACGCTTGCTCTGCGTGGGACTGGCGCTGTCAGGACTGGATGCCCGGAGCCCCGGTGGGGGGAGCGAGGGTGTCACCACGGTCCCAGTTCGGTTTGGTCCAGCCGCTGTCTCAGTGTCACTGCAGAGCTGCAAACTTGCAACTCAACAAGTCCCCATCTGCTGCCCACACCCAGCCAGCTGCCCCGACCCACGTCCAATAGTGATCAGGGCATGGTGCCCTGCCAGTGCCTCCCTTGGGGGGAAGAATCACGCCCACTTTGGGGATGCCCAGGGACGACCTTGACACTGGCCACTACACTGGACAGGCCGGTGCCCAACTGGGAGGTAGTTCTGGAGCCTATGTCCGGTAGGGAGGATGTAATGGAGCCGGTGCCCAGTTTGGAGGGGGCGACGGACCCGGTGCCTGGTCTGGTAAGGAGGGGGAGATGGAGCCTGTGTCCAGTCGGGAGAGGGCGATGCAGCTGGTGCCCGGTCGGGAGGGGGCAATGGATCCGGTGCCCTGTCCAGTCGGGAGGGGGCGATGCAGCCGGTGCCCGGTTGGGAGGGGGCGATGGAGCCAGTGCCCGGTCGGGTCGGGAGAGGGTGATGCAGCCGGTGCCCGGTCGGGAGGGGGCGATGCAGCCGGTGCCCGGTCGGGTCGGGAGAGGGCGATGCAGCCGGTGCCCGGTCCGATCGGGAGGGGGCGATGCAGCCGGGGCCAGGTGCGGAAGGCGCGGGGGCCCTGCGGCTCGGCCCCTGACCGGCGCACTGCAGAGGAGCCGGCTGGCTGCGGCGAGCAGCTGCGAATGAATCAAAGCGCCGGGCGCAGAGGGCGGGCGGGGACTTGATGCATTGCAGCATGCGCCGGCGGCAGGCCGGGGAGCGTGGGGCTGGGGGCGGGACGCAGCGGCCAATCCCCGCCCACCCGGGACACACACAGGGACGGGTCGCGCCAGCGGCAGCATTGGGGGCAGGGGCCAGAGCCGCGAACGGACGAGAGAGTCAGGAGGACGGATCCAGAGATCCCAGCTCTGCCACTGCCCCTGACTCCAGACCTGCATCCCCTGCTACCCAAGCCCTGGGCCCCTCACTCCCCACCCGCAACCCCTCCTAGCCCGGCTCTGGGCTCCCCCCACCAGCTCTGCCGGTGCCCCTCACTCCCCACCCGGAACCCCTGCCAGCCCAGCCCTGGGCTCCCCCCACCAGCTCTGTCGGTGCCCCTCACTCCCCACCC